TTCAACATTAGTTGGAACTGATGGTATATACATGATAAAAAAGATCTAACAGTATAAAAAAGCATTTGCATATAAAGAAAGTCTTCCCATCCTTCATTCCACAGCCCTTGCTCTAGACACACCACTATCTCCAGTTTCAGTATATTTCTAGAAATATTTTAAAGGAGAATATGAGTATATATTGCATTACTCCTTTTTATTTAAAAAAATGTAGTAAATACATTTTATCTTGCTTTATTTTTCTTCTCAATGATCTACTTTAGAAATAGTTCTACATTAGATCTACTTCATTCCCTATACTCACAATTCAACTGGCCACCTACTACTAGGTATTTTAATGTTTTTTAATCTTTTAAAGTGAGAGACAGTGGTACAATTAGTATTTTTACGTATTTGCTTCCTTGCAAAGTATTTCCCAGGTGCAAGTAAGGGTTAAAAGTTATGCATATTCACAATTTTTGAAAGATAGTGCCAAACTATGCTCCAAAAGGATTGTACCAATGTAAAGTATATTAAAAAAATGCGTGAAAATGCCAGCAAAATGCAGTACCAAACTTCAGGATCTGATAGGTGAAAAATGATATGTAATTAGTTTAAATTTGTATTTGTCTTATGGGTGAGGACGAGCATCTTTTTAAATGTTTAAAAGCCATCTGTCTTTTTCTGTAAATGTCTTTTACCCATTTGTTTAATGAATTGTAGCTTTTTTTTAACTTAAGCACTGTTTATATATTTTTAGGATATTAGTCTTTTGTCCTATGTATTACAAATATTTTTCTTAGTTTGTCATTGGCTTTATGAGTTTTCTGATGCAGAAATTTTACGAGGTCACATTTATTCATTTTTTCCATAGCTTCTAGGTTTTGAGTTCTTGCACTAGAAAGGTTTCACTGATTCTAAAAACTGTGATATTGGCAAAACAAAAACAAAAGCAAACAAAAAACCCATAGTATGGCATTTAGCAGTGTAGACTGGTACACACAGGTGGAGGAAGGATGCATAGATGAGGTTATTGAAACAGCACCCTAAAAGCACCCATGAATCAGCACACAAATATTGAACAGGTAATGCGATGCTGGGGTGCACTATATGGTAAGGACGATATGTTAAGAGACAGTACTAATATTTTAACTCCTCTCACTAAATATTACACTCTTAGTATGGTATTATTTCTAGTAACCGTTTCCAGTTCTTAGAAGAAAATGGGGGAAATTAAAAAGAATTTTGAGAATTCTTACAAAAAAAGTTCATCACTTCATTTAAAATAGAAAATTATTAGGGCCGGCAGGTGATGTGGTGGTTGAGGTGCTGAGCTTCCACGTGGCTGACCATGGTTAGAGTTCCAAACCTGGTGGCTTATTTTCCCACTTTCCCTCTCTCTCTCTAGTCAAATTAAAAAATAATGATAATGAATAAAATTAAATAAATTATTTAAAAAGTATTTTTATTGGGACCAGCAGTTAGCGTAATAGTTGTGTTGCTGGACTCCCATGTAGTCGACCACAGTTCGAGTCCCGGACCCGATGGCTTAAACTCACGCCGGGCGCGTGTACGTGTGTGCCCAAGATCCCAAGAGGAGAATGGAGGAGAAGGGATTACAGTGTGGCCATCCCACCGGGGGGTTATTTCTCGCTTTCTATCTCTCTGTCTCTCTCTGTCTGTCTGGTGAGTACATGCACCCTATAGCAAAAACCTCTCAGAAAAAAAAAAAGTATTTTTATTGAACTTTAATTTACTAATTAAAATTTGACCAGTGAGAAAGTAAGCTGCCAGGTCCGGGAATTTGAACCATAGTTGACTAGGTGGGAGTCCAGCGCCCTTAACCACCATGCCACCTGCCAGCCCTAAAATTAAATAATTTTAAAAAATTTTTTTAAAGAAGAAAAATGATTAATTTTAGGGAAAATATTTCTTTTTGTGTATGCAAAGGATGCTGAGTACTTTGCATCTTCAAATAAGAATAGGATGAAAGGAGAAAAGCTTAAGAAAATTTGTGACAAGGGAACCAGTGGGTGGCATGGTGGTTAAAGCCCTGGACACTCCCACATGGCCAACCAGGGTTTGAGTCCTGGACCTGTGCCTTGCTTTCTTACTTTCCCTTTCTCTTTCTCTCTCTCTCGGGTCAAATTAAAATAAATGAATGAATAATAGTTAAAAAAAAAAAAGAAAATTTGTGACAAAAAAATTGTAATTACTGACAAAACATTAGTTCAAAAAAAGAATGGTAGAATCTTTGCCACCGCAGAGTTTAAATAACAGAAAAAACAGTGTTGGATTATTTAGGTTTAATTCTGTCAGGAGGGAAACTAAACTAGATGCAGATTGGATTGTATAATTAAGGTTCTGTAATTGTACCCTTTTTACTTTAGAACTCAAGGTAGTTTATTTTAAGTAGGCATTTTTCTTTACCATATTCCTTACAAATGGTACATGTGAAGCTGTAAGGGTTATGAAATAGAAACTTGAATTTTTATATAGCTATAGAAATATCTACTTACCACTATACTAAATGTTTTATATGTGTTAATTTTTTTGATCCTTCAATAACTTTATAAAGGAAACTACATAAAGCACGAGGGAACTGAGGGTTGGAGAAATTGAAATAGCCCAAAGTGTCACATGGCTACTTACTTAATGCTATCAGGTGATTTACCTGACACCAAAACACATAATCTCAAGATCCTGCTGGCGCCAGCAGGGAGCATGGTGGTTAAGGGCGCGAGACTTCCACATGGCTGACTATGGTTCAAGTCCCGGACCTGGTGGTTTGCTTTCTCACTTTCCCTCTTGCTCTCTCTCTCCCCCTCTATCCTTCTCTGGACAAATTAAAATAAATAAATAAATAAAGTTAAATAAAATAATTCTTAAAAAACATTGTGCCTATTGCACCTTGACTCTTGTATCTTATAGTCTAAATGAATGTCTGAATTCTTTTTTTTTTTTTTTACTTTTTTTTTTTTTTTGAGAGATTTTCACTGTAGGGTGCGTGCGCTCGCCAGACAGACAGAGAGAGACATAGAGACAGAAAGCGAGAAATCACCCCCCAGGGGGGATGGTCACGCCGCAATCCCTTCTCCTCCATTCTCCTCTCGGGATCTTGGGCACGCACGCACACGCGCCTGGCGTGAGTTTTAAGCCACCGGGTCCGGGACACGAACCGCGGTCGACTACGTGGGAGTCCAGCGACATAGCCATTACGCTAACTGCTGGTTCCCAATGCCTGAATTCTTGAGTAACTACCTAATCAATGAATTCATAATTATATATGAAAAATTATTTGACAAGGTCATCTAGAAGGGAAACAAAGGGCAAATCAATGGGTAGTCAGAAAAGTCATGACACATTTTTGCACAGGAAAAATATGGCAAGACTTTTCCAACATCTCATTATTACTGGACTTAATTGCCTTGCTATGTTCATATCAGAAGTAGATTTAAAAAATAAAATCTATGGGAGGCCAGCAAGTGGCATAGTGGTTAAGGTGCTAGACTCCCATGGGCTGACTGTGGTTTGAATCCTGGATCCAGAGACTGGTAAATGTTTCTATTTCCCTCTCAC